GAAATCAAGATACACAGTAGCATCTGGACAAGGATCCTATTTCCCCACAGCCTTCCCCAGGGAGTTAGAAGCAGTCCATGAGTCACTGAGGCAGAGGGAAACTTTGCCCAAGTCATACAACCTCTCTGATCAGGTCAAGTCTCTCATGGGCCAAATGGAAATAGTAATTAATTAATCTATGAAGGCTCCACTGTTAGAGCCACAAATAAAATTGCTGTAGTCAGAGTGGCTTGTAACCCTTGCTGTAGCAGCAAATGAAAGTAATGATGTCATGGAGAAAAAAATCCATCAGGTACCTGTTCAGCACCTATGAGATATATGATGGGAGTTGGAGATGTACAAGACCTTGTCCAGGTAGGGAGGGACAGTGCTGTGCTGAGCACAATGAGCAAGTTGTAATGAAGTGCTCATTTCAGACTTCAAGGCTTGACTCATTCAGGAATTGGTGCTGAAATCAATTTTAGGGGATTGTGACAGGCATTTAAAGACTAAAAATAACATAAAATTGAACTGAAAATATCAAAAGTGCATTAGTACATGTCCAACTTGTTTCATAAAACATTTTTTTTTATATTTTTGTGTATTTTTTTATATGTATAAACTCAGTATAAAATGTATTTCTCACTGTGGGTCTCAGTTTAAAAAGTGTGAGAGATGGTGTTCTAAGCCAGGATGAAGATATTCAGGCTGGAGGACAGTTAATGAGATCTGTAGCAGGCATGTAGGCCATGTGAAGGCTGAAGAGTGTGAAGGCAAGTCAGACAGGCCTGGGATTTAGTCCCCGCTCTGCAACTTACAACCACATGGTCTTAAGTAAGGTTTCAGCCTTACTGGAGTCTTGGATTATACTGCAAAATGGAAAAAATGTTATTGTGGTAGAGTTATTGTGAAGTGGGAATGTGAGAAACCTATATAAAGCATTGAGGAAGAGATTGGTAAATAGTAAATGGTATACAAGTGGTAACTATTGTTGCTAATTTTATTACTATGGTTGTGGGTTGTTTTGTTTGTTTGCTTGTTTCTTTGAGACCCAGTCTCACTCTGCCACCATTGATAGAGTGCCACTGCACCATAGCTGAAGTTATTGGGCTCAACCAATACTCTTGCCTCAGCCTCCCAAATAGGTGGGACTACAGGTCCCTGCCACAATGGCTGGCTAGTTTTTTATTTTAGAGATGGGGGTCTCACTCTTGCTCTTAACCAGGCTGGTTTCCAACTCCTAAACTCAAACAATCCACCCGCCTCGGCCTCCCAGAGTGCTAGGGTTACAGGGGAGAGCCACTGTGCCTGCCCTTGTAGTTGTGGTTTCTAATGTCATATTGTCTCCTTAAGGGTACTGTGACTTGGAGAGGGGAGAAGAAAGAGCATTCCAGGTAGGAATAGGTGGATGACAAGGGATAAGCATGTGTTGCAGGATGTGAAAGAAGTCTGAGAATTGTGCAGCCTCTGAAGGGAGTGTTCAGATTATAGGTAAATGCTAGGAAAATTTTGGTATAACATAGGAAGAGAGTTAACAGAAACTTTAACAACAGGGTCACTTTACCTGGCGGTCTTGAGGCATATATCTGGAAGAATTCCAGCAGAGGCTGAGCTAGCTACAAGAGACTGGTCTCATTAGGTTCTTTTTCTTTTTTCTTTTCTTTCTTTCTTTTTTTTTTTTTTGTCACAGAGACTTCCTCTGTGGTGTCACCACCACTCCCTATGTGGTGCCATCATAATTTATAGCAACCTCAAACTCCTGGGCTCAAGCAGTCCTCCAGCTTTAACCTCCCAAGTAGCCAGGACTAAGAGTACAAGGAAAGGGGGGTATTCTGGAGGGTGAGTGAGGCCTCTCAGACATGAAGCCTCCCCTATGGGCCATTTGGTTCCTTATCCTGGATCAGCTTCATTTTCACTAGCAACTGGCTCATGTCCTCTCTCCCACTGTCAGGAGGAAGCCACCAGAGCCTCTACACCATCACACTGTTTGCAGGAACCCCCAGACCCTGGGTTCATCTCACAGCTTCTCACTGGGTATCCTTAGAATGTCAAATTCACAGCACAGGCTGTCTAAACATATAGGGAAACTGAGGCTCAGAGAGGGAAGGGGACTTGCCTGTTATAAAAGGGATTCCTGTGTCAGACAGTAGCTGTATCAGATACTTTCCAAGATCCTGACTGACTCAATTGAAGTATACATGAACCTTCTGATTTTTTTTGTTTTTTAAGAGGCAGAGTCTCACTTTATTGCCATTGGTAGAGTGTACTGGTGTCACAGCTCACAGCAACCTCCAACTCCTGGGCTATTTTGTTGCAGTTTGACAGGGGCCAGGTTGGAATATGCCACCCTCAGTATATGGGGCTGGCACTGTACCCTCTGAGTCACAGGCGCTGCCCAAACCTTCTGATTTTTAAAAAATGAATAACCTGCAGCCCTTTGGGAGCACATGCTGTGCAAAGGAGATGTCTACCTGCAGTTAGAGAACTTGTGGTCATCCTCACAGTATGTGTGTGTGCTGGGTGATAGGAACAGCCAGAACTCCAGTGGCTTCCTTCTCACCATCCCCAAGTAGATTAAACTCCCCTACTGTTGAAGAAGTCATTCAAATGACCATATTCCTCAAAATTTCCTAATTTAAGATTTTAAACATCTGAATGGACCTTTTTGATTGACCTGTACATTTGAAATAGTAAAAATGAGTTTAGTAGAGTGAGAGGTTTTTGTTCGTTTCTGAAAAGATCTTGCCAAATCAGTGGTATCTTAGAATCCAGGAAATATGGTAGTTTGTTTTGTACCCTACTGAAATTCCGGTTTGACGTTGAGACTTTGAAACTGCCAAAGCTGTTATCTGGCATCAGTTAAAAGAACTCAGAACATGTTCCTCTGTGTTTCTACAGTTGGGAGAATGGGTATCTCTGAGGCCCTGTAGTCAGATTATATCAACAAAGTCAGACCTAGGATTGAGGTGTCAAATGGGCTTGTATTTAATCACTTGGGAGTTCTTTAGAAACTGGTAATCTTGGGTGAAAGCACTGCCCTCTTTGAGCCTTACTTTCATCATTTGTGCAGAGGGGTGATTGGATCAGCTATTATCTACTCCATAGCTATTATCCATAACTCCCAGAACTGCCTGTTTAGTGTGGGCACCATTTCATTTAGTTAACTCTAAAGCTCCTGCCTGGACGTGTTGCATAAGCAAGTGTGTTGTAAGTGGCCTGGGATGTGTGGGCCATTGGTTTCTGTTCTCTGGGTATTTGGGAGATGTGTGTCCCTTTGTAAATTACCTAACCTCAAGGCTTAGTCCCAGTTTTGCTTTTATCAGAAAGAGAAAGAGAAAGGAAGGGAGTGGCTTTGTGTCTGCTTCTACCTCTAGGTGGTCAAAGGGGCAGCAGTTTAAGGGGGTGGGGGTGACTTGTCAGTGTCAAGGGGGCCTAGGCTGTTACTCCTTCTCAGCTGTTCAGCTTCAAGGCTGCTCTTAGCCCTGGCAGTTCCGCAGTTAAAGTGCACTGTAGAAGCGGATCTGCCCTTTTGTGTTGTGGTGGCCTCAGCTCTGCCAGGGCCCCTCCCTCTGTTCTTCCAACCAGTAAAAGTCATAGCAATACATTTCCTTCCTGCAGAGAGAGAATCAGAGATGCAAGGCCTGGGCCAAGCCCCAGCCCCACCATGTCCTGTTCCTGAGAGCCTCCTCCAAGCTGCCTTGAGTGTCTCTGACCCTGTGCTCCTCCCTGGGCAGTCAGGCAGTGCTGAGTGCGGCTCTTGGCTAGGACATGACTTTAATTTGAGGCCAGGTTTTTCCATTGAGTTGCTTTTTGAACAAGATACCTTTCCTGGGTACCTTACCTCTGTGAGCCTCTATTTCCCTATCTGCCATTAGTGTTTTATTCTGTTAATATTGTCAAGTACCTTTTCCCCCTCAGCCATGATCTAAAACAAGTATATTTTTAATTTAAAAAAAACATAAAAAGCACAAAAAAGAAATGTAAAAGATCCATAATCCATCACTTTAAAATAATTTTAAGAAAAGAGTATGTGTATATAGAGAGATGCACACATACATTTTGTTGTTTTTGCTGCCAGTATTGCTCTGTAAGCTGAATTAGAAAGCATATATAGACTGCCTAGCCTACAAATGTTAGTGTCCTTCTCTTTGCTCCTCAGTTATGTGAACTTAAGAATTTCCTGGGAATCACTGCTTGGAGGAAGCCCATTCAGTTGATACGTTGTTTGGCTAAGCCAGGAGTTTCTGCCCCAGCCCACCTCCTCCTGCTTTGGTGAGGTGTTATCCCCACACTTAGTACCCACCAGAATGTCAGCTCCATGAGGATCAAGACTTTGTTCTAGTCACAGGAATACATCCCCACAATTGCCCCCAGAGGCCCTCACCATAGAACAATATGCACTTTTGATAGCTGCTCAGTCAGCAGATGTACAAATGCAAGAGCTGGTATTTGATGGGGATTTGAAGTGTGTATAGGATTTTAATGGGTAGAGATAATTTAAGGATCATTTCAGCAAAGGGACTGGCATGAGTAAAGACTGAGAGGTGGGAAAGGGCTAGGGTGTAATTGGGGAAACTCTGAGTAACTAGTTTGTCTTGAGTGAGGAGATGAGCATGTTATTTCTGTACTTGTTTGACAAGTTTTTATGTCTAACTCTGCACCTTGCACACAGGCCCTCCAGAGGCTTATTTACTGAAGCTAACCCAGGACAGGAATGCTTTGTTTTGGTGCATAGATGCAGACACTCACTTAGCCTCTTCCCCAGAAAGGTGCAGTAACCCCTGACCCCTGGACACATTGGGGGCGTAGGTACTTAAACCCACCGTCTCTCTGGCCTGTACCTTCCAGGAAGGAAGGCAGAGTTCCTTTCATTTGCAGTAGGATATTCATGAGTTACCAGTCCCAAAAGGAATGTCAGGGATGGGGGGCAAGGGAACAGAGATCGGACTGGTGACTAGGGCAGAAGCCGGGGCCTTTGTTCCTCTTGGCACCTCTGACAGACCCTGCCCTCTGCTCCACAGGCTGGAAGAAGTCCCCCTGGAGGTGCTGAGGCAGAGAGAGTCCAAGTGGCTAGACATGCTCAACAACTGGGACAAATGGATGGCGAAGAAGCACAAAAAGGTGAGGGGTCTGTCCTTGGACCTTAGGCTGGGAGTGGACTAGCTGGGGAGGAGGTGGAAGAGGAAGGAACTTTGACTTAGGAAGGCAGGGACTTCTCCAACTTCCAGGAGCCTTAGGTGTCCTTCCTCTGCCAATGGAGTACAGAAGCTGGCTGGAGGGCAGTGATAATGTTGGGCCTCTATAGATGACTTCAGATTTATGCAGAATTTTGTCCTGGAGTTAAATTCAAAGCCACTTTTAGCCAGTAGCCCTTATAAGTAGCTTTCCCCTAGCATTCTTGAGAGAAGGCCTCAAGTGCTACTTACTGCCTATCAGGGAGGACTTTGTAATACTAATAATAGCTAACATGTATGGAACATTTGCAGTACCCTTGGCCCTTGTCTCAGATAATTCTTATGACACGCTGGTGTTTTAAGTAATGGTAGTATCCTCACTGTATAGATGACCTCCAGAATCAAGATCTGAACCCAAGCAATATAACTTTAGCACCTGCCCTCTTAACAACCACAATAAGGAGCCTTCTGCACCCTCTAGATTAATTTGATGATTTCCCTCTTGCTTCCTGGCCAAAGCAAAAAGAAAGAATAGTAACCTGACAGTTTAATAATGGTCTTACAAAAATGAAAACACCCAGTAGTTCTTTTCTAGTGAGACTGTCAGACTCTATCCTCCCAGGGGAATGTTCTTGGCCACCATTCTTTTTTTTTTTTTGAGACAGAGTCTCACTCTGTTGCCCAGGCTAGAGTGCTATGGTGTCAGCCGAGCTCACAGCAACCTCAGACTCCCAGGTTCAAGCAGTCCTCCGCCTCAGCCTCCTGAGTATCTGGAACTACAGGCACCTGCCACAATGCCAGCTAATTTTTTCTATTTTTTAGTAGAGACAGGTTGTTTCTCTTGCTGCTGCTCTTGAACTTGGCCTTACAGAGTACTAAGATTATAGGCATGAGCCACTGTGTGTTGATGTCCTTGACCACCCTCAGCAGGATCTAGTTACTTTCTGGCTTAGAGGAGGCCTGTTCAGAGCCTCACAGCCAGGGTCTCCTCTGTACAATTTCTCAGTCCAGAGTGAACCCCATCACCCACTGTCTGCTGACACACTGGTCTGGTCTGATAAAGCACAGCTGGTTGCAAGGTCAAGCAGAAAACTCAGGACCAACAGTCGGGTATGGGCTTGGGCCCAGCTCTGTTCTCTTCCTGTCTTCATGACTGTGGCTAGCTGTGTTACTTTGGGCAAGTCGTTTTACCCTCTCAGTCAGTTTCTCTGGTCAAGTGGAAATGCTAATTATGTTTGAAGGTTCCCCACAGAGTGGACTATAAGTGCTTCATGGACTGTAAAGCCCTGTTTCATGAGAGAGGCCTATCCAGGCTAAGCCTTTCTTATTTACTCTGTGTGGACTTTTGGGCACTCATTTTTGGGGTTTTTTTTTTGAGATAGAATCTTACTCTGTTGTCCCAGGCACTAAAGTGCCATGTTTAGCATAGCTCACAGCAACCTCAAATTCCTGGGTTTAAGGGCTACTCCTGCCTCAGCCTCTTGAGTAGCTGGGAAAACAGGTCCCTAATTTTTCTATTTTTTAGTAGAGACAGGGTCTCACTCTTGCTCAGGCTGGTCTTGAACTCCTGAGCTCAAACAATCCTCTAGCCCAGTGGTTCTCAACCTTCCTAATGCCACAGCCCTTTAATACAGTTCCTGTGGGTTGCGACCCACAGGTTGAGAGCTGCTGCTCTAGCCTCAGCCTCCCAGAGTGCTAGGATTACAGGTATGAGCCACTAGGCCTGACCATGGGGCACTCATCTTTTGCTTCTTAGAAAATCAATCTCTGTCTCTCCAAAAAAGTTTTAAGGCAGTTATTCCTCAACTGGTTCCTGCCTGACTCTGGGGTCTGGTTCCAGGCCTTGCCACCCCTTAGGCTTTACCTTGAGCTACAGGTTATTCTCCAGCTGTCTGTTGTGGTCACTGGTGGTTGGCAGGGACTGTGGCTCTGGCCTTCTCAAATGGGGATTCTAGAGGGGAACCTTGGGAAGCTACTCTCAAGAGAGCAGCCAATAGCACTTCTTCTTCACCTCTTCCTTGGCACTATGGTTAGAGCCCAAGGTCTGCTTTGCCTATCAGAGGCCTCCATGAGAGTGCACCAACCAACCCTACCCAGAGTACTAACCCACTGCTCCTCTCCAGACTGAGACCACCAGGTGCCCCTCCTCTCACCTCATCTGTGGCCATACCAGGCCTTGTCATGGGAGCTCTTCCTGCCTGCCTATGGAGACTTGTGCTCTCCTTCTGGTCTAGAAGTCATAGGAATGACAATACTCATTCCAAGAAGTAGGCTCCAACCCACCTTCTCTTGGACTCATACATAATCCTTCTGGGAGAGTGTCCTCCTTGCCTGGCCATGTCCAAGACAGAATTCTGGGCCTACAGGGTTGTGGCTAGAATGCAGTCTTCCCCTGTGGGGCCCTGCCCTCCCAGAGTTCAGCAGGCAAGGGTATGGCCTCACTCAGCTTTCACTGGAGACCTCCTATCTCAAGGTCTCACCTCAGAGGATGATAGTGCTCTCTGCTTTCTCGGAGCACTTTGTCATGCTATATCCTTACTGATTGCCTAAGGCAGGCAGGGTAGAAATAACCACCTTCAACCTTTATGCTGAGGGGGATACCAGAGGCCAGAGTGTATTCCCAGCTCTCTGTCCCCAGCTTCTCAGCCCTGGGCCTGTAGTCCTAGGGCAGGGCCTCTTTGGGAACCTTGGTGGACTGAAGGTGCTCTAGGGCTTTCTTGGAGGAGGCCAAGTATGGTGGGGGACTGCCTCGTGCAGAACTTGGTGCTAGGAGAGCTTGAAGGGCCTGTGATTCTGGGCTGTATGTGTCCTTTTGCCAAAGCTTGACCAAAGTGACTTCCTTAAGGAGACTCTTATCCCACAGCAGAAGGAAACTGTTCCCAGAGTATGGGGCAGTTCCCTTCTACTCCCTTCCTCTGCCCCTTTCCCAGAAGGCAGTCCCAGAAGCTCTCACTTGGCGCCTGTGACCAGCCACCATTGCTCTTCCCCACTGCCCCTCAGGCTGTCTGCCTGGCTTCTTCCTGGTTCTTGACTCTCTCCCTGACCTTTGGAAAGTTTTCTCTTGTTTGCCCTGGTCATCAGGAAAGCCAGAGCATCTGTGCTCCCTCCTCTGAGAGCTTCTAATGGGACTGTTTGAGGGAGTTTCCAGGTGAGGGAAAATTAGGTGTAAACCAAGGCCCTGTTCCTGGGATGGAGGGTGGAGAGGAAGCCATCACTAAAGGAACACAGACTGTGTCGAGCACCACACTAAGCACGTTTTTTCCTTTCTAGTAGAATCCTTTCAACAACTCTGCAGAGGAGGAGGTAATATTGTTCTGATCTTATACTTAAGAAGTGATTGGCTCAAGGTTAGATTTAAACCCACATCCAGATGTTCTTTTCATGCCATGGGCACCCATCACCTTTATCCCAAGTCCAGCTGCTTAGTGCAGGGGCTGAGGGAGTATCATTGGCCACCTCCCGCGCCTCCATTCCATAGGAGTAGTGCCTATGCCTTTGCCCTCATCCTCCTTGATGGGTCAGGACAGTTGTCTTCAGACCCTCCTTCTGGCCCCAAGCCCACCTTCCCCATCCATCTCTGAGAGGCCAGGAAAGTGGAAAGTGCATGTGTCTGGATCCCACTAGCTTGTGCGGTACAGCTAGGAGGTATGTATGGATCTCTGATTGTATGACCTTAATCCCCCCCATGCTTCAGTTTCCCCATATGTAAAAAAACATGATAGTTTTCAAACTGGGTTTTGGGAGCGGAAATCTCTGGAAAAATAGTCTGAATTAAGCATTACCTCCGGGTCACGAGCTACCTCAACTACTTCTTCCTTCACTGCTATTTTATGAGCAGCAGAAAAGGCTTAGACCATTTTATCAAGGGCTGGGATTAGGCTTTACACCCAGGCCAGCTGCCTCTGCACCAGGCTTATAATCCCGAGAGCTCAGGGTCAAGGAAAGAAGAGAAGGGATTCTGGACCAAAACAAAGAGGGAGCCATTTAAGCAGATCCCATCTTCCTTCTGAGTTCTGCTAGGATTTCTCCCCTCTAGCCTGACTGTGTCCTGCCACATTACTGCTTAAAACAAGACCCCCAAGAAAGTGCCCAAACTACTTGATTTTGATGCTTCTACTGCTCTGTTAGCCTCTGTAGAGCAATATCTAATTTATTAGTACTGTAATTTTTTTTTTTTTTTTTT